TATGCCTGGGATGGTATGTCAACAAAGTATGAAAAATCGCCCCAAACAGAAGCGCCACAGCAAGGAATTTCATTTCCACGTTTATTGGACATATTTACTGCATCACTCACATTGTATAACAACTCATGCATAATTCTGATGAGTTGTTATTGCCTTTATATCGGGCTTTTAAATTGATGTGCTTGCCTTAAAATGACAGTGATAGAGTGTCAGTCACCTTTGAAGGCTAGGAGCTGGGGCAATGTGATCCCTTGCAAAACCAAGTTAGAGCTTAATGAAGCATCTTCAGCCAAGTCTTCTACATCTCTGCCACAGAGATGTCTGCTTGGGAAATAAGCTTCCTCTCTTTAAAACCTCATTTTCATTTGAAGAGTGCTATTCCCCAACTGCTTCTTGCCACTCATTCCCCGTCTATGTGAATTTGCTCCTGGTCTAACCCCAGCACGACATCAGTTAATAAGCATTCCCGAAGGGATCCTCCTCACTCAGTATACTCTGGATCTCCACAAGGGAAAGGGAAAACGGATCTGCCTTCCTTTCAAGCTGAGGGACAGCTGAATTACCATCACCTCGAGGCTGGAGAACAGGACTTCAAAATGTTGGGGGAGCTTTTGATAAATACTTTCCCAACTAAAGACTTCATTTAATCCAGCAGCTTCTGAGTCATGAGCAAGCACCTCCTGACCTGTGAACAATCAGAATTAAGTCTATTAGCGGACAGGCCTATCCTACTGCTGATGGCAACAGACAGGCTGGAGGCGAGTCATTCCCCACTAAGGTCCTGCTGGAGAAAATCCAGCTGATCAATGGCAAAAATGAATCGGAGCATTTTTCACTCTATCATTCGTGATGCTGACAAAGACTGAAGTATCTTTGCCATTCATTGATTTGTCTGTTTTTGTAGTCCTATGGGTCTTACATTAGAGATCAACACACACGTGCGCACAAACACATCCACGTGCACACGCGCGCGCACACACAGACGCGTGCGCCCACAGGCACACACACATGCATCTAAATTAACGTCTTCTTTTTTCTGCCCCTCCCTGACAAGCACTCTGAACAGTGTGTGAAAAAGATGGCAGTAATTATCCATGCCACAAATCACACATGTAGCTTTAGCTTGCGGAAGATCCTTGTATATTTTGCTAAGGAGAAATGGCACTAAGCGATGTTTCACTTACAAGTTTTGTACTTTAATTTTTTAAATGAGCGAAGGGGCTATCCATTTCCCCTATTACGCCCCCCTGCCCACCCATCCCAAAACTGTTCCTTAAAAAAATCTAATAACATAGAGGCTAAACTTGCTGGAGCACAGATGAAATTTAAAATGACGTTTCATCCTTGTTTTGCGGTCTGAAGCAAAGGGCTGTTACTGCAAGGATCACTTCTTGTTATGCGAAGCCCCTTGACAACAGCGGTACTTTGATCAGGGAGCCCAGGCAGTTATAGGCAGAACACGAATCCCAAACTAACAAAAATATGGACTTAAAAACTGAGATTCAAATTCCCACAAAATTGGAAGACTGGATGGAAAGAATCTGAAATAACAAACATGAGGCTTTAAACCTTTGTGACTTGCAGAAATGGGGGCGAGGGGCAGGCGGGGTGTCACTACCAGGCAAACAGCTCATTCTGACCCTGACTAAGGTAAAAATACATGAGACAGTGATTCCAGATTAATCGGGATAGAAGTCTGTATCTTCAGGAAATGACATTAATGAGACTCTGAGGAAACAAAGACAAAATCTGTAAATACCTTGAACAGCTTTAATAAAAACATTTGCATTTAAAACAAAGAAAGAATTCATTATGTGCAGACCAAGGCAGAAAACATGTCCTTGGATAGAAAAGTTAACAGCCAGAACTTTTATTTTTATTTTTTTTATTTTTTAATTATTTTTTTTAAGATTTTATTTATTCATGAGAGACACACACACACACACAGAAGCAGAGACACAGGCAGAGGGAGAAGCAGGCTCCATGTAGGGAACCTGACGTGGGACTCGATCCCAGGTCTCCAGGATCACACCCCGGGGCTGAAGGCAGGCGCTAAACTGCTGTATAGTACAGTACACTGGGGCTGCTCCAGCCGGAACTTTTAAATGGTAGTGTTTGTTTGTTTGTTTGTTTGAGCTGAGAAATAATTCAGTACTTCTCAGGAAATTATATTCTTCTAAATCATACGTTCTAAACACCAAACATAATAACTTCAACATCTTCATTAACCAGAGCTCTTGAAAAGTTTAAAAAAAATTCTACTGAGCAACAGGAGGTCAGAATTATAAATAGGTAAGAAATGTCATTTTTTAAAAATATATTTTATTTGTCAGAGAGAAAGAGAGAGGAATCAAGAGAGAGATCGAGAGAGCGAGCACACAAGTAGGGGAAGCAGCAGGCAAAGAGAGAAGCAGGATTCCTGCTGAGCAAGGAGTCTGATGCAGGACTTGTTACCAGGACCCCAAGACCATGACCTGAGCTGAAGGCAGATGCTTAACCGACTGAGCTACACCCAGGTTTCCCAAGAAATGTCATTTTTTAACTCAAAAGGTGAATATGGCAACTTTTTCTGTCTAACTCCATAGCAGTAATCAACCTCTAAGACAGATACTTACCAGATTTATAAATCTGTATTTCCATCAAAGGAAGAAAGAACTTTATATGGAAAAATTTCTGGCAACTGGCTTAAATTTTATTTTAAAACACTTCACTTACACAATATTGTGGCTTCAAAGGTCTAAAGTCTTGCCTCTTATTATTTCCAAGTCTCATTTTTAATAAAATAGTTTGTCTTTGATTTCTTTGCACTCATACTACTATGTGTGATTCGGGAGATTCTCAGAAAGCAAACAGACTGAACAGGACAGAACCTGGCAAGGCAACAAGAAGCATCCTCGATATTTCCCGTGACATACATCTGCTACTCTCAAGAAGAATTTTAGCTCATTAGACCTTTATTTTATAAAACTACTGGGTAGATATAGGAAACAAACCCACAGAAAGTCAGGCAGGTAACAAGTGGTAAGAAGTTTATTTTATTTTATTTTTTATCTTTATTTTTATTTTTTTTAAGTGGTAAGAAATTTAACAGAAACAGACTTTTGCAAAGTCTGCATGCTAACCAGGAAGGAAGGTATACAGTGTGCCTCTGGTCTGTGTTCTAAAAAAGGCCATGGTTTAGGGCTGATCTAGACAAAAAATGGTAGCCACTAGCCACAGGTGGCTATGTAAATCAACTGAAATGAAAAATTCGCTTTCTTAGTAGCACTAGCTCAAGTGTGTGATAAGTGCATGTGGCTAGTGGCCATTCTTTCAGAGAGTGCAGATATGGAACATGATCATCGGGCAGCACTGGTTCACAGAATGAAGTAAGGACACAAAGTACAAAGAATGATCTCAGTTACCATGGAAGTACATCCAGAAAGTGGGCAGTCATCTTGCTATCTTGGAATAATAAGAATTTCTTTTAGAGCATGAAAAAACTCACACAAATATCCTAAATTTTTAAAATTTTTTTAGTAACTAAAATGTGTGCAGTTCTGATCATGCTATGTGCTTTATATGTATCATTCTTACTTAATCTTTATAAAAGTAGTCTGAGGGGACTTGATGGGATGATCACTGGGTGTTATACTGTATGTTGGCAAATCGGACTTCAATAAATAAAAAGGAAAAATAAATTAAAAAAATAAAAGAAGTCTGAGATAGGCAATATTTTAATTCACATCTCACGGAGAGACAGTAAGGCTTAGAGAGAGCATGGGCATGACCCAAAATCACACAGCTAAGGCCTGGACTCCAAGCATGCCTATCTCTCAAAAGCCAGAGCCTGGAAGGAGGCCTGTAGGAACTCCTTTTGAGCTAGGGAGAGAATGCACACTGGCTTCTACTACCAGGCACTCTACAGCATAACAGAGGGCCACAGCCCGATGGATGGCTTATTCTTAATTGGCTTTTGTTCCCCTTTTGGCTTAAGATCTTGATGTTGAGCACGATTATTTTCTCTTAACAGTGGAACACTACTGGGGCACCTGGGTGGCTTCATGGGTTAAGCATCTACCTTCACCTCAGATCATGATCCCAGGGTCCTGGTATGGAGCTCTGCATCATGCTCCCTGCTCAGCATGGAGTCTTCTTGTCTCTCTCTTTCTACCTCTCTCCTCTCTCTCTCTCTCAAAAAAAAAAAAAAAAAAAAAAAAAAGGAAAATATCTCCCACTAATTCCATTCTCTTCCTACTCTCCACCCATCCACCTCTGAGCTTCTTTGCATAGGTTTCTCGTGATGGCTTACAAGAATGTCCTAAACCAGTTCAACTATAATGGAAAAGTCATTTCACAGAGTGTATCTCATGGTCCACCACTCCTTCTGACATACAGTACTGATCTCTTACGTATCCTGTTAATAATCATTGAGCTTGCGTTATAGAAAGGAACTCTAGCAGTGCAGAGTATTTAACTTGCTAAGGGTGGAGCCATGATAAAGAATATTTCCTCTTAGGGATCCCTGGGTGGCTCAGCAGTTAAGCACCTGCCTTCAGCTCAGGGCGTGATCCTGGAGTCCCGGGATCGAGTCCCACATCGGACTCCCTGCATGGAGCCTGCTTCTCCTTCTGCCTATGTCTCTGCCTCTCTCTCTGTGTCTCTCATGAATAAATAAATAAAATCTTAAAAAATAAAAAGAATATTTCCTCTTAGACATGAATCTCAGCAGTCCAGGTGAACCAAGCAGAGTGCTCTTGCTCCTTAGTTTGGAAGATCTCAGCTTTTACATGGTTAATGTCCCTAGAAATTGCTTAGAAAATTGTAATTGATCATTTATTATACACTAATAACTTTTTTAAAGCTTTCTTTAAATCGCTCTAATAGTTGATGTCCAAATGACTTTGGCTAAAGATGCATCTGACAGCATCTTCTGCGGATCCTGTGGGAGCAGCCAGGACAGCACTTGCTACAGAGGCCAAGAAGGGGGCGAGCCCTGCACAGGGCCTCCCATGCCTTACCTCCGGGGTGAGCCATCATCGTGGGGCTGGATAATGACCACCTTCACAGTCACGGAAGTTCGGAGCAGGTCAATCATCTGCTCATGGGTCAGGGTGGCCACAGCCACTTTGCAGATCTCCACGAGGCGGCTCCCTTGGCGGAGGCCAGCCTTCCAGGCAAAGCCAAAAGGTTCCACATCGGCAACAATGCCTTCAAAATTGACATGGAAGCCAAGCTGGCCCAGCCCGTTCCTCCTCAGGGTCATTTCCACGGTCTCGCAGCCTCTCGTTACTATCTGAAGGGGAAGGAGATCGTGAGACATCGCAGTGGAGCATCTCCCCTACCACCCCCCACTACCCCCCACCGCCATCCCAAGGTAGAGATGCACACATAGGCCTCCCAGCCCTGTCCTCCAACAGTCCAGGTGACATGCCAAGGACATCACAATACCAAGTTCACCATAATTAACTGTGGCATCGGACGCAAAGAGAACAGCAAAAGTATAAACAGTGGCTTTACCTTCAAAGGCAAATATACTACTGATACAGATGTCCTGCTTTTTCTTAGAAGCCATTGACCCCAGAGGTCATGAGATTTAGACAGGTTCTGATAACTCCTTCCTCCCCTTCCCTATGTCAGCTGACTTGGGTCTTTTTTTTTTTTTTTTTTTTTTACTTGGGTCTTAAGCATATAAACCCCATGGTTCCAGATGGACTGCAGCAATGGGAAAACACAGACTCTTTTGAAACCATGACAAGTTTCACCCATTAAACATTAAAAGCTATTAAACAATTTCATCCAACTTAAAAAATGGCCTACACCCCTTCCAAGCTAACACTCAGAGGGCTGCTCCCAGGAGGTCACAGCAGAAGTCAGAATGTTAGAAGTGCAAGTGCTCTCTGGGGATATCCTGGTCTGTACTCCGGGAAGCTATCTCCTGGGGGTGGACTGCCTCTGCTTGCCTGGCGGGGGTGGGGGCGGGGGGCTGGGGTGTTTTAATTCAAATGTGGGCAGGCCTCCCAGGCTCCCTGGCATCAGCCGACAAGGGCAGTGTGCAGGATGGCACTCTTGCAGGCAGCAGAGACGTCCTGCACCTGTGGGGCCACCTCTCCTTCACCTCTGGGATCCATCCTTTGGGGGCCAAGGGGAACCCCAAACACAAGCAGCTTCAGTGCTCTGACCTTCTCTCAAGAGTGTGCGTCTACAGCTGTATCACAAAAAGGAACATGGAAGAAAGGTCTGTGTCCCTCGCAGTGCACTAAAGCACTGATAATTAGTTAATGCCACCCTCAAAAGTGCTTACTGAGAGTAACTTACATGCACAGAAAGAAAAAACATGGGCTCATTAAATGTCATTTGATGACTAAGGCATTACTTATTTGTGGGAAATTTAAAGTCAGGAAGTATCATACCCATAATCCCCTAAAGCACAGAGCTAATGTATAAAGTTGCAGTTTAATAAATGCTGCATTTCCATGAAACACGCTTGGAATACACAGATTCCTATTTATTAAGAATTACAAGTGTAAGTACAGCTGTAGGACAGGGCTGGGTTCAGTGTATGTCCACTATGTCTGTTTCCATGGTTACCCACAGGGGCACACATGTGGCCTATCCCATCAATGTCCCATAGACACACAGGACAGTTGGCAGCTCAGGAAAAATGGGGCAAGGTATTATTGGTGTTAGTGTTGAAGTTTTCAAAGATTGAGGCTTGCAGAGTTATGAACTGAACTAACTGGAAATTGTTGGAAAAATACTTTTGTAATATGTACAACCTGAATAGAATTTTCCTTTCTTTTCAACTTTGTTTCAACTATACTCTCTTACCAAAAGTTTGCATATGTATGACGTATACCTTGCCTTCTTTCCAATATTAATGCAATTTTCAGTTGAAATTTAACATCTATGTATCAGACTAAAGAGTGAACAGTCAATCCTTTCCTAAGACCTATGTGTCTCTCCTGCTTATTTCTTCCAAATACCTGCTACCTGCCCTACTTTTGTTTTTTGCTATCTCTTTATCCCTTCTGTTCCTTGCTTCTTAACATTTGCAAAGGGTGAAGGATCAGTTATTTGGAGTTCCTTACATACTCACATGGACTCAATAATCATAGGAGAATGGTGGCTTCTTATCCATGTACCTACCCAGGGCTGGCCACATAATTGGTGGGGCCCAGTGCAAAATAAAAATACAGGGCCCCTGGGCAAAGACTAGAATTTCAAGATGGTGACAGCAGAGCACTTAACCAAGTAGGGACTCTTCTGAGAGTAGGTCCCTGAGAATGGGTCACAGATTGCACACGAATATCCCTTTAGGGGTAAGCTCTCATTCCTCCTGGGTCTCTACCTACATAATAGACACCTTCAATTTCAGTTTCCACCACTATTAAATGCACACTGAATCTACCGCCTGCCGACTAGCACTCATTCCCCAAATCTGCACTATGAATGCAGCATCCTCCTTCTTTGCATTTCTGTTGCTACTACCCTGTACCAATCTTATGTTCTAATCCTTCAAAACTGTGGGTTGGTTTGTGTCCAAAATCTCCTGCTGCAAGTCATCTTAGACACACAATGCATTTCCTCTAACATAATCCAGACATTAGGCAACTCCATCACATTAGCCATACCACTGCTTTTCTAGGAAAATGGTAGAACGGGATCCCCAAGACAGTGAATGGGTAAGGACCTATGAAATGTGCATTTTAGTGATTGGTGAAGTGGTGTTTATTTGTGTTGTATTTTCAGGAGCACAGATTGTAATGACTAAGTGGATTTCCTAAAAAGAAGTATTTATGACATTATCAAAAGCATAGTGTGTCCTGAAACTCACAAAGATAACTCAATTCTCCAGACACATAAACTAATCACATACTTAATCATCCCCAAATCACATCTATGTTTATGCACATGCACTCAATAATACTATTGAACACACTGAGGTCTGTTCCTGTAAATAGTGTCTACAAATAATTACATTATTTCTCCAAGGCTAGCAGATACTGACTTGATTGTATTGTCTCTAATACATGGTCTCAAATAACAAAGGGGAGATTTATATTTAGTGGGAGGATATGGGACAGGAAATGGGTATAAGTTCTTTTTTCATGATCCATAATTGACTAAATCTTTTCTAAAAATTGAAATGTCCATCCCCTTGGGGGGAGATTTAAACATGAGAAATTCTTTTGTCAAAGCATTTGGGTTCTTACAGTATATTTGATTTATTTTTATAACTGGTTTGACAGACAATAAAATCTGGATCTTTCTGTGTGAAAATCAGGATCAGAAATTTTAACTGTTACACACTGTGCATATCATTTAGGAGTTCTGTACTAAAAATAATATTTAAGAAAAATGTTTTATGACTGATTTTTCTTAAAGTTTCAAAGGGTAATTCTATAAAACTTGATGAAACTGTGGCTAGAGATTAATAATATATTGAATCTGGTAGACTAAAGAAAAATGCCTGCTGTATAAACACACACAGAATTGAAGTTGCGAAGAGGACACAGTCATTCATAGGGCCAATGGCAACTGTATGCCCATTAATCTCCCCTAGAGGAGTACTGACATGGCAGTCTCTACACACAGACATATTATCTAGACTTTTTTTTCTTTCAGATACTATAAAAATACATCCTGATGTTCCCTTTTGGAAGTTGTCTAACTTTTCCTTTCCAAATGGTTTGTAACAGGTGCTTCTCTACCACTCATATTTAGCAACTGCTCAAATGGACACAGTATTCAGAATTAAGCCCTGTAGCCACATGAAATAATAATTCATTCTCTAGGTGCCAAAATAGTGGTACAATTTCCACAGTGAAGCCCATTATGAATCTGTTATTAAAGACCTAGGATTGTAGAAACACAAAACCTGTACTTACTCCTAATCGCTGGACAATTTCCCTGATGTCTTCGGCACAGTTATCCACTGAGGACAAAAGGATACATTCCCCTCTTTCGTAAAACACTTTGATACTCATTAATCCAGATGTCCACCCAATGACGTCCCTGCAGGAACAGTTAAATACAACGTTCTTGGAATCCTTTTCAATCAACATTATGAATTCATTGGAAATCCCAAGAAGACATTCAATGTCAGCAGACTGGCCAAAGTCCCGAGCTATTACATGCCACATGATTGCTCCGACACTGAACAGATGGGCATCCTTCCTTGGCTTTACTTTCTCCTTTTTCTTTGCACCCAGTGTAATGAAGCTGAATTTCACAGAGGTATCCACAGTGGCGGTCGTGACAAAGTTCTCCGCCAGATCCTTCAAGTACTCTTGCCTTGTTCGAGTGGCCATCGCTCGAAACTTTTCTGATTTATGGGCTGCGTTTTCTGCATTGATTACTTTGGCTAAAAGGAAGTCCCGAAATACTGCTGACTTTGGAAAAGTTACTCCTTTGGGAATTGGTGGACCAAAAGGTGGCACATCTTTTGATCTAGAAACTCCAACACTGAGAAAGAAAAATAGGAAACAAAATGAGCTGTAATTCCATAATATTTGCCTTCAGAAATGTGACATATACCCATACAACTCATGCCATCTACTTTGTAGCTTTTTGTCATACTAATTTCTGGATATCCAGTGTTTGTTTGCTTGTTTGTTTTTCAAACTTAGTAGATGCGGTGTGTTATAGGTGGAGTTACGTCTCCTTAAAATTTGTATTGAACCCAAGTAATTTGGAATGTATCTGTACTTGTCAGATAGGGCCCTATTTTTGATTAGGTCAAAATGAGGTCATTAGGCTCCAATCCAATCTAACTGGTGTCCTTTTAAAAGGAGATTTGGACACACAGAGAGACACCAGGGGCACATGTTCATAGAAGACCACTAGAGGACCCAACAAGAAGGCAACTATCTATAAGCCAAAGAGAGGCCCCTGGAGAAGCCAAATCTCCCAACACCTTAATCCTGGACTTCTAGATTCCAGAACTGTAAGAAATAAATATCAGTTGTTTAAAACCAACCTGCTTGTGGGTACTTTGTCACGGCTGCCCCAGCTGACTTAGATAGAGGGTAATGGATCAACAGTGGGAAGGGAAACCCAGAGTTTCAGAGGAAACTCAGCATCAGTACTAATCTCATGTCTGCCTGCGCTGATATTTTCTACATTGAAATAAAGGAAGTGATCCATACTTCATCTTCATTGTTACTGAAAATTTTGAACATGGTGAACAAAGGAATGAAATAATTCTGTCCAAATTTGTTCTGTTAGGTGTGGGCTCCTCTTCTGGAAAGTGGCTGGTTAGATTCTTAAAAAGAACAGTCTCCAGATCTCTCTCACCTTTGCTTTAATCTGCACACTCTTCAGGAGAGTGAGTCACTTCTGGTGAGCTGGGCAGACTGTCTGCATGGAGCTGTAGCTGGTATGAAAGGGGAGGGAAAGGCTGATTCTCTTTGGGACAGAGGCACCTAATTCATTCAGGGATGGCAGTGAATACACTAAACCAGACAGTGATAGGGCATACTTGACTGTGTCCACAAAGAAAGGCCTTAAAAACGCTATAGAGGCTGAAATATCCTTGAGACCCACCTCATCCTTGACTCATTTTCCTCTTGCTACTACCCTGAGAGTGGACATTCTAGACTGAGTAGGAATTAATTTGTCCTCACATTTTAACCTTCAGAGACTGTCACAAAGCTACCTGTCTGGACTTGTGATAATGCTAACCACATATTGTTGCTTCTCCTTTACATTAGTCAGTGAGCTCCCATGGCCTATCTGCACACTGGGACCTGCCATCCCAGTAAACTCATGTTATCACCTCCCCGAAATTGTTTTTTTCTTCCAGTAATCAGCACAAAGTCCTGAAAGAACTGTACTCACAGAAGGCTCAGGTGGCCCAATCTCATGTGACACTTTGCAGGATTACTTTTTTGTACCTTGTTCTATGGATCTCAAGCTACTTTGACTACCTGTAGGCATTTAAGCCAAAGCATCAGGGAAAACTTTTTATATCTGTATTCCAAAAAAAGATCTCACTGTAGAGCTCCATAGTGGATAAAGGGAAGTATCTTGTAAAAGGGCAATTGTTTAAAAAAAAAAAAAGGCAATTGTTTTTGCCCCAAATTACTGACCCTAAGATCTAACTGGAAGTTCTCTTCACCACATACAGTATATTAACTTCCTGATCAACTAAAATCCTGGGCATCTCAGATCCAAATTGTACATGAAAAGTATCCAGAATTCAGGTCTGGCTATTCCAGGATCACTGTGATATTATGGAATGGAGATCAATTAGAGATTGCTGGTTACAGAAGTATATATAATTCTTTCAAACAGAGTTGAGGTCAGAGGAATAATCCTTGGCTAGATTTAGATGATTTTCAATGGGTTGAAGCAAGAATGTATTTCAGAATTTCTTTCTTTTGTGTTTATTTTAAAGATTGTATTTATTTGAGAGAGAGTGAGCATACCCACGCATGAGCAGGACTGGACAGGGGAGGAAAGGGAGAAAGAGAATCTCAAGCAGACTCCCCACTGAGCACAGAGCCTGTAATGTGCCTCAAACCCATGACTCTGAGATCATGGCCTGAGCAGAAATCAAGAGTTGGATGATTTAACCAACTGAGCCAGATGCCATGCCCTGTCCAGGATGCCAGCTTTACTGCCTGCTGAGAGTATCTGAGCTAGCAACTTAATCCCTCCATGTCTCAGTTTCCTCATCTGTAACATGGAGAATGAGTGCCATTCTCAAAAGGCCATGGTGAGCATGAAACCAAGTAATGCAGGTAAAGCTATTATTATGCAAACTATTTTATCATTATTACTATCACAAACAATCACTATTTTAGTCATTGATTTAACACTATCATCTAATTTTTGTCCAGAGGGACTACATATTAGATTTTCTAAAGAGGAAGCCATCGCTCTCGGTAGATACCATCTCACACTTAATCAACAGCTACCAAACCTACATAGCAAGAATTTTACTCATTAAGTTACCATGGGATGCATTTTGCAAAGAGTTTATCTTGGAAAGTACACAAACACATAAATCCCTCAAGGTTAGCTTTGCAATAGCTATTGCTAGTAAAATTAAAGCATCTTGTCTAAAGAAAGAGGCAATTAGTTAAGTTTGCTTTTTAAAGATTTTGAGTACATGGAGCTTTGGAGATGCTACCTCATTGTCTCTCCCCAGGCTCTAGTAGACCCAGCCTCACTTCTTGGGAACTCTGCTGCATCTGTGGGAGGTGCCTCAGACTACCTTTCTAAAGTGAGAGCATGCCTTTCTACCTTTCTGGACTTGCCAGTCACGACAGTTCTTAAAGAAGAAAGTCACCTCAACTGACAGTGAGTCTAGACTATGGATCTACACTAAGCAGTCTTGTAGGTCCTTATCAGTCAGAACGTGCCAACCACTCAACACGTGCACAAAGCTCATCAGAGAAACAGTATTTGTGGGGGTTCCCTGAGGTGCATGTGATTTATTTAGTCTTCTTCAAGATGCATCCATGGGTTAAGACATAGCAATTTAGAGAATAGTAAACCTGGACTATATTTTATCATTTCCTTGGATATGATTTTAATGAATTTATTTTGCCTCCGGTGTGTTTTGAGGAATGGCATATGGAAGAGCCCTATAAGGTGTTTTTGGAAAATCTAAGCACTGTACCTTATTCCATGTGACAGAGTTAATATGGCTTCGTAAAATGTTATGGAATTGATTTGACTATAGTATTCAAGAAGATTATTACTGAGTCGTTGTGGGATACTCATGAAGTTTTTAAGCATGATAAGTACAAATGTTTATGAGACACTTACCAAAATTTGAGGCACACTACTGACTTCATATTTGAATCTCACTAGCAAATGGTAATTTAATGATAACAACGTGGTTTCTTAAAGACCAACGACTCCATAGTCGAATGATTTGCACAATGCTACCATCTATCATAGAATACAGTACACCATCTACTTTGTTTAAAGGTAAGATCTACATCTAGTCCAATATTGGTTTCAATATCCCTCCCTAGTAATTTTATTAAAACCAGAAAATCCAAAACAAGTGAAAATAGACATTACTGATAACTTTTAAGATTTTTGGTGCTCATGAACCATCTCCTGACATCAGTATAAACTATAAGGGAAAGTAATTAAAAATACTTGATTTGACCTAAAAACAGCAGCCAATAAAATAACACCAAATTCCATAAAGCCTTAGGCTTAAGTTTCCAATCCATTAGGAAGGTTCACTTAAGATTATTCTTCATAATTACCATTCATTGGGTGAGATCTCAGAAGAATAATCCAACTTACCATGTTTGTACCAACGTCAATCTGTTTTATAGCATGGATGTTATAGTTTTTGTTTCTTTTTTTTTTTTTAATCTCATTTTTTGAAAGTAGTTCTGAGCATTCAGGCCAGTGGTCTTTACCCAGATGTGACTAAGGAATCACTGTGGGAGGGAAACTCACCGATGCTCAGGCCAACTACAAGTCTGATATTAGCACACTGTACCTCAGTAGGGTGGGAGAATGACCGCATTTAACGAGCTGTGAGGCAAGATTCAGGCTAGGAAGTACTAGTTTATAGACTCTGTGTTCCTTTGAGATGGCTAGGCGTGGGGCAGGCCTGTAAAACAGCCACATCTAACACACAGGCTAGTTTCTCTGCCTTTAGGAGAACATCCTTTACAGTCTTCCCCATCTTCCCATCCCCTCCCAGTGCACATACATGAGCCCCAGCTCGGCCCAGGAGGCAGCTGAAACAGCACTTACTGTTTTAGGATGATAAAGGGAAATAATCTTTGGTGAGTGCCAGGAACTCTAATGGGTGTTCTGCATAATTTCTGCTATTTATTCTACACACTGATGTAGGTACTATTATCCTCAAATTTAAGAGAAGGAATGAAAGGTTCCAAAGCATTAAATAACTTGTACAAAGCACCGCAGGCAGCAGCGCTGGATTCTAAACTTAGGTCAGACACCCACTCTTTTACCCTGTAAGACATGATCTTCCAGGGGCAACTACTTCCTACAAAAGAGTCTGTGGGGAGGGGAAAGGAAAAGTCAGAAACAGGCTAGGGATTGTGCGGCACAAGTGTGGCTCTTTGAAGTCACCAACGCAAGCATCAACTCCTGGTCTCAGGAGCCCTGTGGGGGTGAGTGTTTCCAAAATCTTGGATGAGAAGCAAGGTTTTCCCACCACAGTAATTACTTCGCTCAGGAAGAACCGAAATGGCCACATCATCCACCTCCAAGGCTGGTATCAATTAAGCTACGGTTCCGGCAGGGGCTGGATGCAGTTTTTAAGGGGAAAATTGAGGAAATGCGTAATCTACAATTTTGAACTGCTAGGCATTTCACTTTTCAAAACGGGAAGGAGGCAGTTACTTTGTACAGCAAGTACCTGAGTGAAGACAGTGGAAATATAATTAGCAAAAGAAAAAAGGATAATGATGGGGTTTGAGATAATAATTGGAAAACAAAGATATTTCAGGAGAAGGTGTGCTGCTGAAATATAGCTGACAGAGTCAAAGCGCAGGACTGCTGGCTCACCTGTAACACACGTTTTCGGTGCATGGATTGTGTACTCTGACTATGACAAAGACGTGCTGGAAGTGGGATCGGATGCTTCTTGGAGTAAAAGGAAGTGCTCCAGGCTCTTGGAAGACAATGGTCACAATGTCATTTCCAATATGCCTTTTCCTCAGAAGCTGCGGTTGAGAACAAGAATACACATGGGGTTACAAAGGCAATTTTCTGTACAGACAAAATGTGCCAATATATACCACTTGCTCATCTTTCTATTTTAAAGGACTGATTCTGAAAGCCAGAGTGCTTCTTTGAAAGTCAGTGCTCCTCCGTGTGACCCGGGAAGAGCAGAATGGGCTGCGTCCGAAGTGTCTATGGAAAGCAAAGCCTAACTAAGTTAATCTCTTCCACTTTAAAATTGGACTCCTTTTCATCTTGAGTTTCCTCACCCTGTAATAATAACACTTTGGCACTCAAATGTTTTCAAGAATTTTATAGCCTAAGCTCTTCAACTTAAAGCAAGGAGAGAGAGTCCAGGAGAGGGTACAAGTTTGCTAAAAACCCTACACCAGTGTGTTGGGGCCTTCACCTATTGCTCCTCCACAGGCAAGTCTGCAACAGCAACACAGAAAGACTGTTACTTTGGTGGTTAATATATTCAAACTAATTAACTGAAATCTGGCCTTTCACATGTAATTCAGAAACACAGAATTCTACAATAATAGCTAGAAAACTCAACTTACAAATTACAAATGTGACAGAAGACAAGGAACCCTAGAGCAGTAACACTTTATTTATTATTATTATTATTATTGCTATTATTATTTGAGCAGCAACATTTTAACCGCACTTTCACTTTTCATGTTCCTGAAACAGGTCTCCCTTTGCCCCAAGTTGCTCCTAGACAGCTCAGGGCTCTGACTTAGGTATCTCCTCACCTGTAAGGATCTTTCCCAGCAAGCCTATACGGGCACTCCACCCGTACACCCAGGTCTACCTCTATTAACATTAGTGGCAATAGAACTGTGCTAATTGTCAATTTACTTCTCCCGCATCAAATCATGATCTTCAGGGGGGGCAGGAGAAGCGTCCTGCTGACTTCTGATTCCCTATCTCTGATGGCCTGCACAGGGCATAGCCAACACCCATTACACATTTGCTGAAGGCATAAGTAAGTGGTAGATACAGGATCCCAGCCACATCATACTGTGCAATAAAACTGTGATCACACCTCTGAATATATGTCGATGAAGCCATACACAAAGCACTCTCTAAGTCGATGCAAGTAAAACCACAGTATCTGTGTTCACAAAGTTTGTGATCTTCAGTTTTAATAGATACAATAATCTTTATAGGAGCTGATGATGTCACCACAGGAATGAGATAATCTCAGGTAGTAAATCTCTCTTTACTAGCAATAACAAAGACAACGAGCTTGCTCTTAAATTTATTTGGCACCTACAGAACATACCTCACCATAAAGAGCATTGAGTTCAACTCTTAAAGCCTTTTCAACCCAGATACAAAAAGGATTTCATTGTCAGGCCCCTGACTTGTGATTTAGTGCGATAAAAGGTCTGGAAATGCGGGGATGAAATGTTCCTTCTTCCAGAGTTCTCTGATATGCCAGTTAAATCACTGATTCATATGCTGGAAAACTCCCATTTAAGTAGCCACCACAGTTCAAGTCACACACAAAAAGGTCGCTTTCCTGTTTGGGTGAAGTTTTGGAACATATACTCATATATGTTAATACAGACCCAATGAGCCATCTGTAGCTTTAAAAATGTTTGCTAAATACTTAAGTTAAAATGCGCCATTTCAGACGCATGTAAAAAAATCAGTAGCAAACCAGGTCCTATACACTGTGTGATTATTTACCCTTATTACAGTGGACACAGATGATAACCACAATAAATATTTCATGTCAAGGAGAGAAAAAAAAAAGCAAGGATAAATATCTAAAACAAATATCACTGACAAGCTAGAGACTGTACTAGGTTAGGATGTTCTTCTCTCATTTCCACAATAGCTGAAACACAGGATTCAGATATTCCTTAGAAGACAAGGGGAAAAAAAGGAGCAAATGAAAAAGTAAAAAAAAAAAAATCATATATATATATATATATACATATATATATGTATATATATATATGTATATATATATATATATCAAATACCTAACACTGTGTTCAACTTCTCTGTTCAACACGGATCACAACAGTTGACACAATACTTTATTCAAGATCTTTGAAACACAAGAGTTCTCAGATTGATGAGTGCAAGATGGTTCTTGTGATGGCCAAGGCCACACAGTGAATTCTGCACCCCTCCTGCCTACGTGGCTGCTGTGCTGCACTTCACCTTGGGCCGGCCCTCTCAATTAAACTTGTGGGGTAAGCACGAACTCATCAGTCTGTGCTTCCTCCATTTTCTCTTTGTCCAGAAACCGTTAGGTCCAGTTCTATACTTCACATCACAGGAATACTGAAAGCATCACTTAAAAGTCTGGTTCCCTCAACAACATGTCCCTTTTTTAAGCATATTCTTTGGCTTTGTAAAATGGGCCAAAAATGTTTTTAATAGTCTAGTTAGTTGAACAAGGGTCACAAAATGTTCTTGGCAAAACAATAAAGTGTGGGGAAGCAGGATGGGGGGAGGGGGAGAGGCTGGGAATTAGGAGATTCATTAAGAAGAGTAAAATTTGAAGTTCTTTGTAGGAGAAAAAAAATAAGAAAAATTAACACCTTGTCCATTAATGGGATGTCCATTAATTTGTTCAAATTCTAAAGAAAAATAACATCTGGAAAGTTAACAGAAATATCTTTCACTGCTTTCCTGGACTCTGCCAAAACATTAAATAACCTCAGTAATTCCTTAGACTTCTTATCTAAAGGTAAATATTTTCTTTAGTTATTATTTAGGGTTTTTTTCTAAATGGTGAGTGAAATTCTGTGTAATCGAAGTCCAGAATTGGAAGGAGAAAGGATATGGCAGCCCAGCAAGTTATGAAGGCAAGCCCCTGGATCATGAAGAAGACATGTCTGGCACTTTGTCAGGGAAGTAAGGAATGGTGGCTTCTAGTGCTGACCCCTCCTTCTAGATGTGAAGCTCCTAACACTTCTCAGTGCCCAGAGAACCACCTTTGTGAGAATGAGTTAATCAGTACTGTGTTAGATTTACACAGTCAATCCTACAGAATTTCCAATGCTTGATTCAAGCAGTGAAATAAGAATAAAAGCTCTTGTTATGACAAGAAAAGTGAAATGTGATTCTTCACCCAATGCCATGGCAAAAATCATCCAGATGCTACAGAAATAGCAGCCATTGGGGTAATTCTCAATTCCCTAACCAAACATTGGGGCTTTAAAGGACCAGTTTTAACTCAAGGCAACAATCAAAAGCCAGTGAAAAGTGTCAGGTAGCCACACTCAGATCTAGACTGGTATAAAGTTGAACAAGGGCAGATCTAGTAGCCTCTATGCAAACAGCCTCGTTTGTTCATTTTCTCTCAGCATAGTAAGGTAAAGAAAGCATTTTGCACACCTCATTCTGGGCGGCGGGAGGGGGGGGGGAGGAGCAGCCTGCACAGTGTGAAAGAAATGAAGATGGATGTGGCTCACAAGTGCCTAAGAGTCAGAATTCATGAAGAGAGAGTTTAATTTGAAACTGGAAAAGGCTGATCTCCAGAGACAGTCTCCTGTCTCAAGAAGCAAATACGTGAAAATTTGCATGATTTCAAAGAGAAAACTGCATCATGTAATGATTATCTTATGTGTTCCAAAATTCAAAGAGACGAACCCAGAACTGAGCAAGAAATTAAAGGTATCCCCATAAAAACCGATCACAAGTTCTGGATCTTGGTCCTTGGGTTGGAATCTAAAGTCCTGTCCCAGGAATAGTGTTGACCAAGACTCCTTTGAGTGTATCCTTCCTAACTCTCTGACTTGTCACCCATCCCCACCTCCCAGAGAGTCACCTTGCCTCTCCAACAGGTCAGTCTGTTTCTGTCACAGGCACTTTGCTCTTGCTACCCCCTTGCCTGGGAAGTTTCTCCCTCTCACACAGAGGGTCAGCTTCTCTCTCTTCAGAGACTCTCTTAATTCTTTTTTTTTTTTTTGATCCTTTTAATTCTGCATGTGTGCACACAACACACACACACACACACACACACACATACACATCCTACACCCTCATGTACTCTACACTCAAGACTCAACACCAGTGGTTAGGTTTTGGTTTTGATTTTTAAGAGATTATCTAGATTTTCCTATGAAAAGTAGAAATGTGAATGTAGATCAGGAGTCTAATAAGAAAGAGGGAAACCTACACACATGATCACATAAATTCAAAAGGCTTGTATTCAGAGAGGAAAAGTCTCGCCTACCCACTCCCCACAAAAAAAAAGTGAAAGCTAGGTTAACCGCTCTTAGCTTAGTAAATCATATCAAGTTTAACTGCCATCTCAAGGATTCATCGTGGACTTACTTTATATAACCAATATAAAAATATTATGTAAAACATTTAATATAAAATATGTAAAACTGTATTTCACCAATAAGAAGAGTCAATGTTCAAATCAGTTAGGCTAGCAAAGCTGAGTATTCTTCTACAAATGGATAAATAGAAACAAACGAAGAATGTAGATTTTTAGTGATTTAATTAATAACAAAATGAAGAGAAGAGGATTATGAAGATACAATTATTTCTGATACCTGGTAGTAGTACCCACCCTACTGTAAGCTGTCATGTTTATTATCTGGGATAAGTACACATTCTTATTTAGGCCCTGGGGATAAATCTGATCACAGAAGGCTGAATAAGCATTTTATTCTTCCAAAATGTTCCATATTATTATTATTTATAGGTGAACCCAAATGCAGTCAGGACCTACTCGTACAGTACTTAATGAGATATATTTCTCCTGTATCTGAATGGTTCCTTAGCAGTTCCAATTAGGGACTTACAGAACCAAGTGCATACACCCCTCAAGATAGGTCGGCCATCTATCCAAATTATATAGAGAAAGGCTTCCAGGTTGGCTCAAACCTAACAAGCTGTGTTCTCCATTACCGCTGTAGAGGTCAAGTCTGTCCCTAGGCTAATGCCAGTATTCTTCAAATGGAATCTCAGAGACCTAGTGACTTGGCCTAATTCCTTAGGGACCTCCTAGAGACTTGGATAACCCTTGCAAGCAGAGGAGCTCTATCTAACTTTATGCATGTACTTAAAAAAAAAAAAAAACTACATGTTCTAGGCACCATGCTACCATTATCCATTTTATATGCTTACATTTAAGAAAAGGTCTCTGCCCAAGTGAATTCTGAAGCTAACTCATGTTCCTTCCACTGATAATATGTCATGATAGCTAATCTATGATTTGGCTACAGGACAAGTAGAAGGGAAGCATACAGGGGAGACAGCCCTGGGAAAAGGAATCCAACCACCAGACTGGCTCAGAGAAACAGATGGGTCTTCAGGGAAGAGGGAAACCACTCCAAGAGCGGGCTCTCTTATCGTTCCCTGGGGCTGCCTAGGTTTTCTTTGTAAGAGTCATACATTCCAAACACTGAACTCTTTTGCAACAGTGGTAAACTCTCTCAAGACTTTTAATACATCTTGGAATAAGCTTTCAGCTTGATTTATTATAAGAACAAACATAAGAAATTATATCTGATGGGGACGAGTCTGGACCAGTTAAATAGTCACAAATACCGTGGTGCTAATGAGGCCAAAGTTACAGGCACAATTCATGTACAGGCCAGCTAACTTTGCTAAGTTCTGTGGCTTCCAACTACACTCATGAGCCCAGAGAGTCATGTCAGACATTTCCACCCCTGGGATGAACATAATCTGCAGGCATGGGTGAGGAGAATGGCAGATGTGCAGAGGGCCAGTACAACCCATACCAAATTTGGACAGTACATGTTCCAAGATTGCACACTGGCAACATTTATCTACAAACAGAATATTCTGGTAACAAACCAAGATTAGCAAAATATTAAATGCCGAAGTAAAAATAATTTTCTGAAATTTCTGATAAATTAGCCCCTTACTTTCTTAACTATCTAGGCCTTACTGTCTCATAACAGAGCTTCAGGATTGGAAACAGGAAAATAAAATGCAAATTAAGTCATCTAAAAGACTTGTGCTATCTAATATATGATGAAATAGTAAGAGCAATTAAAACTTACCGAGCACATTCTGTGCCAGGCACCAGTAAATGCCTTATATGTATTGGCTCACCTAATTTCAGCCACTGTCTACAAAAGGTTCATTTATTCTTTGAACTAGTGTTTACCGCCTGCCTACCGTGTTTGGGGTATGGTTCTTGGTGTATAGGGACACCTCAATGAAGAAAAAATATAAAGTCCTTGCATTCATGGATAAAGGAAACTAGATCATAAAAAAAATTGCCCAAGATCACAAAACTAGTAGCTGGGATTCGAATCCAGATAGTATGACTTCAGAATTCTTGCTCTGTTAACAACTACCTTTTTCTGTTGAAGCTGTTTTTCTATCTAGAAGCAGGAAGCCTCAAACGGCCCAGAATCACAGAAATCTGACACTAAGAGGGACATGCTGTGTATCATCTAGTCTAGGCATCGTGTGTGCCACATCCCCCAGCTGTAAAATACAACATTCTTTCCGTCTGAGCCAGGGTGCTACCCTAGCATCCTTCTTAACACAGTTTTCCAAGAAGCCACTGCTGGCCATCCAAACCATGTCCTTATTATATAATTACCTAATTTCTTGAGAGGCTAAGATCTTACCCAAAGACACAAGGCAAGTGTCTGGCTATGGCAAGTTTAGAATACATCCACTGACTCTTATGTCCATTCTTCACCATCCCCTTTATATTATGAATACTTGCCCACATAGCATTCCATACACAGATTTCCCAGTGGACCATATACAGGATCATATATGTCCCAGGCACAATAAGGGTACTCATTAAAAAAGTAAAACAAACAATTTTACAGTTTTCTACCTCTAATCCATTAGTATAACTTAATGTCATGGATTCTCACTCAAGTTTTAAGAAACAACAAAGAGGTATAACCAAGGAAGTCTTTAAGCTACAGAGTCTGCAATGTATAGTATCAACTTACAGGGGATTTGTGTTTTTTTGTTTTTGTTTTTTTTTAATTTGGGATGTTTAAAACATCTATCCATCCCCACTCCCTAATGTCCATCCTTCCATCTCCTTTTTTGTGTATAGGACTTTAAGGACAGTTTCAGTGAGGAAAAATAAGTCAGGTACAGAAAACTCATAAACCCATACATTTTAATTACCATGCAATAGGAAGGAGGCAGGGAAAGCCTCGTTTGAGGTCTGCTAACAGCAAAGTCCAGCAGACTTCAGAATTCCAGAGGCTGCCATCTGGGAAACGATGGGGGCCAGTCCAGCTTGGAGTGCAGTGGCTCAAGTAATTAGGGAGCTGGAAGTGTTCTGTGGTCTGAACACTTGATTACTGGGGTCAAAAGGCACTGGCTCTGCTTCTGCTAACGCACAGACGGATTTCTTGGCCTGAGTAAGCCCTATTAGTTTTCCGAGCGACAACTCACACAGAGCTTAATTACTGAATGATTCACAAGTATCCGGTGGACAAATGCACTGGTCTAAATTAAGCTTCTTAATAGCAAGGGAATCTGTTTGGCATTATTTCAAGTAATTTTTTTTAAGAGCTAGAAATCCTTTAGGTTAAAACATATACAAACACATACATATGATCTAGTGATTGTAACTCTTCCCTTAAAAAATCATACAGATATAGGGGCTCCTGTGTGATTCAAGTAAGCATCTGCCTTCAGTGCAGGTCATGATCGCAGGGTCCTGGGATCGAGCTCCTCATTGTGTCAGGGCCCTCTGCTCAGCAAGGAGTCTGCTTCTCCCTCTACAATCCCCCTGCTCATGCATGTGCTCTCAAATAAATAAAAATCTTTAAAAAAAAGAGAAAAAGTACAAATATTGACCAAAAGGTAGATTTTCTGATGGTAGTGGGAAGAAATCTGATTATTAGGAAACACTGCAGATCATCAGGAAGGACAACAGACTGAGGTTAAGTATCAGATAAATGGCCAGAAAATCCAGCTGGCAATGAGAAGGAAAAGGGAAAGAGGAGCTATCCCTATTGTGAAGAGCTTGGCTGGAATCAGAAGCCAGCTTTCTCATCCCAGCTGGAGAGTCTAAGGCGGTTCTTACAATTAGTGATGGGTGGGGCAAGCAGTTTCTTTCCAAAACTTTTGACTACCTTCATTGAATTTCATGAGCATAAAAAGGAGAAGAAACATTCTCTTGCAATTAAGTTTCATTCATTCAGCACATTCTTTTTTTTTTTTTTTTTAAGATTTTATTTGAGACAGAGACAGGGCAAGGCGGGGGAGAGGGAGAGGGAGAGGCAGACTCCCCACTGAGGGTAGAGCCTGACTCAGGGCTCCATCCCAGGACACTGAGATCATGACTTGAACTGAAAGCAGACTCTTAACCAACTGAGCCACTCAGGCATCCCTCATTCAACAAATGCTATGCAGCCCCTGGTGTGCTAATATATTTTTATAGCAAAGGAGTGCAGTTAAATGACATCATAACTAAACTTCCTTGACATGAAAACAAACTTTAACTCCTGACTGAACCCAAATACAATCAAATCACTAAAACTGAATCATGCCATGAATAAATTAAAAGATCTGTTCTTACAGTATTTTCTATAAATAAGTTATCTACCCATACTCAGAAACCTGAGCTCAGCTCACCTCACTGGCTTATTTATATTGAACACAGTTGACACTGGTTTCCACTAAGATTTTGCCTAGCAAGCAATAAGGTGCATGTGGAAGAGTTTCCAAGTATTTTAAGGAAAAAGTGCAACAGAAATATGCAAAACTCCTCCCTTTTAAAGGCCCACTACTTCCAAATGATGAAAAGAGTAAATATTATTAATGCTGCTGAAGAGAAAATCCCCCAGTGAGGCTTTGCCAATTCCAATCTCATGAAGCTCATCAGTGGGCTGAGCTCAGATCTGGGAAGTAGAGGGAAGACCCACCTGCTGCCTGTTGTTGGGCATGTAGGGAAGCATGGTGGACACGTGGAACATGACTTCATAGTCTTTGTATGTGGTGTAGAGGGAGTGAGTTCCTGTAGAATCAGCTGAAAACAGAGGTGGAGGACAAAACCAAGTCAGGAAACTGCAAAAGTTAGCAACGGGACACTTAGAAGGTTGTTTTCCTAAGGCAATCCATTTGCAAAGGACAAACCACCCAACTATACCCCACCGGTGGTGTCTTGGCAGCCACTCTACTCTCACTGCACACCATTCCTGCCACTTCCCAACCCACCTCTGTGGCCTTAATGCTTGGGTTTCTCCTCATCTGCTCTCATCTATGTGCTTCCCCTCCCTTTTTTCAATATGCTCACCTTTGCAATCCTGACATAGAGGACCCACCACGGATGCAGCTGAGCAGAGGTAAGCACAGGATGGAAGCTGGAGGTGCAGCTCGGCAGGTGTGGGTGCCATTATTGGAGAGTACGGGCCAACTAGCCGCCCTCCTTGCCCCACTCTGTGTGTGGGTTTACAGTTAATTCTTAATGATTCTTGGGTACCTGATCTTCCAGAACTCAACAAAATGAAACAGGACTGACTTAATATGAGAATGAGAATAAAAAATGCTCAAGATTTCTTTCCCTGAATTACATAATTAATTTCCTTCCCTTTAAAAAAAAAATTTCCTTCCCTTTACAGCAGGCTATGCAATGATGCAGTCATATGATTAAGGCAGAGAACGACGGTGATCTCTTACTGTGTATTATGCACTGACATGTGTTAAAACCTGTGACATCTGAACCTCTCTTAATCATACAGTTATTCACCTGCTGAAAAGCAGAATGATTCTTTGCAAATTCAAAATCCATCTGCATTATCCACAGGTTACCACAAACTGAGTTTCACACACCTAAACCAACAGTGACTTAACACTTACGTGATAACTTTAAGGCGTAGTTTTTAACCACTTTGCATATGGATAAATAAAGACAAAAGGATATATATGAGCAAGATGTACACAGAATTCAGGGCTGCCTTTCTCAATCTTTGACTAACATAGAAGTTTACTTGTCTATCTTTTAAACAATAAGAAACAATGTTATTCAAGGTCATTAAAAAAAGTTTATTCCACTGTTTGTTAGGAATTCTCTGTAATCATCGTTTTTTTTTTTTTTTTTTTTAAAGTGGGCTCCATGTCCAGCATGGAGCCCAATGTGGGGCTTGAACTCAAGATTGAGATCAAGACCTGAGCTGAGATCAAGAGTCAGACTCTCAACTGCCTGAGCCACTCAGGGCCCCCTTTTTTCAATCTAAACATTTTAATTTGGAATGCCTGGGTGGCACAGTGGTTGAGCGCTTGCCTTTGGCTCAGGTCATGATCCTGGCATCCCAGGATCGAGTCTTGCATCAAGCTCCTTGTAGGGAGCCTGCTTCTCCCTCTGCCTACGGCTCTGCCTCTCTCTCTAGGTTTCTCATGAAAAAAAAAAAATAAAATCTTCAAAAATATATATTTTAATTTTACTTTAAAAATATTACAACACTTAACCTTCATGGACCTTTATTCTTTTCTTTCTGAATCCTGCAGTTTTTCTTTGAATGTTCATTCTGACTCAGAAACAGTCCTGAAAATTTTGTAGAAAAAAATGATCACATCCAGTTTTGCAGATTCTGAAAAGGTATTCATAGCAGACAATTTAATAAAAAGGGGAAGTATTTAAAATATTTGACAAATCAACCTGTAGATGTTAAGAGATTATTCATCTAATAACCTCTTAACCAAATTCCATTAACCAGTTCCCAAATCAATGATCTCTTTTAGTTGTATTTTAGTTGTGTTTTAAGTACATATGTGTTATTTTTCATAGGACTTCTTGGAAGGTACAATTCCATTTCAACTCTCTTGGCTGAAGACAGAGAATGTGGCTTTGGAAGTGAAAGAGCATGGTCATAAGGGACTGATGATCCTCTTCCATGAAGAACTCACTCATTAATAACAACATGAAGGTCAGGGGCTGAAATAACCCAGCACATTCAACAATTCTCATCACAACACCCTGCTATTTGGATGGTTAGAATTCAGTGAGAGGAATCCTTATAGACAGCTAACAGTCTAGTCACCAGGTTTCAGCTTCAGGATATTTCAATGAAGGCAGGGGAACAGACTTGTTTTCCTAAAGATTTTATTTATCTGAGAGAGACAGAGAGATCATAAGCAGGAAGGAAGGGCAGAGGAAGAAGGCAAGCAGACCCCCTCCTGAGCAGGGAGCCCCATATGAGGCTCGATCCCAGGACCCCAAGATTATGACCTAAGCCAAAGGCAGTTGCTTAACCCACTGAGCCACCCAAGTGCTGGAGAAGAAAACATTTTTTTAAAATAAGATTATAATTTGTCCCAAACAGTCCTACAAGATGGATTCCTGAAATTAAATATTCTGACATTTTTCATCTCAAATATCAGTATGGTAATGGAACAGGTGAATGGACAAGCTGTTCAAGGGTCTGCTACAAATATTTCTTTCTTTTTTTTTTTTCCTGCTAATATTTCTATTGGATAAGAGCTGCAGGCCATCAGGGCAGTCCCCAGTTTTGTCACCTCAGCATCCAGACCCAAAAGAGACTGTCCACAGACAGCCTCAGGTCTATACTCCACTGTGGTGAGCAGAGCACCTTAGTGGCTCATGTTCCCTCTCTTCCTACTTCATTTCACTTTGTATTTAAGACAGAAAGAACCCATTTTATGATACCCAGAAGGGACATCCCAGACACGCTAAATTTTCCTTGTGGCTCAGATTCGACCAATGTCCTGTGGGAGGACAGGGTGAAGACCATACCACACCACTCTCCTGAATTCAAGAACGAAGACTTTTTTTGCGTCAGTTCTATGAAAGATCTAATTTTATTTGACCATTTCATGAAACATAATTCTTAGAAACTTCCTCTTTACCACAGGGATGTCTTAGACTTCGTCACATCTCACAGAATGCCTTGCCTTATTCATAAGAATAACTTAGATTTGCTGATTATGAGAACCAACATGTCAAAATCTCATTCTTATGTTATCATTTCCTTGAGTGAGGTACTTAGTATTGCATCTGTAATGGATCAAGGACATGTATCTCCTAGGTCATAAAAATTCAAAGCTGATGTTGATTCTTATACCTAGAAAAGTATTTACATTATCTGTGTGGCAGTTTTACAGAATGTACAGATCAGAAGTTCTTACAATGTTTCCTCAATTCACCCCACTGAAGAGAGATGACAGGCATACATAATAAGGAATCCATGTCAGCAGTGGTTTTCCAGGATGCATATCCCTAAGGGTGGCACGCCCACATCTCTAGGGGGTGGCTGGTGGTTTGCAGGCAAAGGGAGTTTGCAAATAAAAAGGAAGAAAAAGGGATCCCTGGGTGGCGCAGCGGTTTGGCACCTGCCTTTGGCCCAGGGCGCGATCCTGGAGACCCAGGATCGAACCCCACATCGGGCTCCCGGTGCATGGAGCCTGCTTCTCCCTCTGCCTGTGTCTCTGCCTCTCTCTCTCTCTGTGTGTGTGTAACTATCATAAATAAATAAAAATTAAAAAAAAATAAAAAGGAAGAAAAATCAGAAAAGGTCTCATATGTGGATACTTACAGTGGGTGTCACAAATTATTTCCTAATCTTTACAGATCTGAGGCAAGAGCAATATGCATCTGATATAATAGTCAAGTCCAACCTTGGCATCCGTGTAGGACACACAGGGGCCAACATATGAGGTAATACTGTCTCCAGATCTTAGGATCTACGTTCTAAACCTAACTTTCAAAAGTAGATAAAAATCCAGATCTGACTGACAGGCACACAAAGACACAGTACCACCCTGACGCAGGGAAGTATCGATGAGGCTTCCAGGTTGATGGGCTCTGGGTAGCATGGAACCACGGGCCCTGAGATGGACTCACACAGATGTTCCCTTGGGGAAGAAGCTTCCCCTTCATTTCGCGCCTAGTAGGAGTGGGCTACATGGCTTCCCACTTCTTCCAACTGTAGGATCTATCTGCTCACCTTTGATTAAAAGAGTAAGCAGTCAACTGCTTAATAATAAGCAGAATTTCCTCAAATAAAATTACTTTGTCTGGTATGTTAGATGCTGATGGCAATGAAATCCAATGGCACAAAGATAAGATATTTAGAATCTATGAGGACCAGAGGAAAAGGATCCTCTAAATGAAGATACAAGACCAATCTGCACATCACAGGATGGCATAGAGTCTATGTTTTCAGTCAGCTCCTTGAACCTAGTGTGTGTCCCGCTCAAGGGTACCTGGGTAAGGATACTGAAAAACAGGATGCATCAGCTTTTAATCACTGCTTCAATTCCCCAGCTTACATCATGAAACCAGAAATGAACAGAATGAGCCTGAGAACATGGCATGAGCAAACGCGCTAATATTTTGTCTTTTAGAAATGAATGCAGAGGTGAGGCTAAGAGAAAGAAGGAAATATTAAAAGATTCTTCATGAAACACTGGGGAATATCTCTGCTGGCATTACAGAAAAAGAACTGACCTTTTGAGCTTCTGTGAAACATATACTTCTTGAGAAATGTGCTTCCTTTGCTCATCTGAGGAAATCTCAACTCTATCCCAAATAAGCTTGGCTAGGCCACTGCCAGGGTCAGGAATGGGAGGGCAAGTGATTGCTCACTTAGATTTATGTGGTACACCTACCTGCGGAGAATTAAATTTGTGCGCGCGCGCACACACACACACACACACACACACACACACACACAAATATGAAGCTTACTTTTATTGTCTAGCTGAGCTCGGTATTTGGTAAATCCTTTCAGCCGGACTCGCTGGCCCAGAAGATCAAGGAATTCTTCAAAAGCTGGTCCCGCCGTCTCATTGTTATACATCTCCTCCTCTGTGCTCTGGCCTGCTTTGCAATAAAGGATCCCGATCTTGTGCTGAAAGCTCAGCTGAAATGGGGGAGAAATAGAATTACTTGGCAAAGAGTATTAGACAAGCTAACTTCCAGTAAAATTAAAACTACAGTAAGCATGCTAGGACCATTCCCATAAGCAAAAGAGGAAGCAACTGTCATTGCGTGAAATGCTACAGATAGATAATGAACACAGAAACCACCAAATACAGTTGGAGAAATGGTAGAAACCCTAAGAAATAGAATGTAAGGCTATGGCCATGTGGGATTGACCAGGTTTCCAGAATGGAGAGACAACTTCAGGAATCTTCTGGAAAATATAACTGGGGAAGTCCTAATCTTACACCCTCCATGCAGTAAGGAGCATCATCTTCTGAGTCCGAAGAAAAAAGAAAGGCCACAAACTTTTAAGTTTTTTCCCTCTCTGGCTCCTGATGCTTTAGTTGTTGTTGTTCTTTGAACATTCATGAAGATATGAAAGACAGTAATGAAAAAACAAATCAAATGAAGGTCCAGTAAGAAAGGAATCCCAGTGAGAACTGTCATATATGTATATAAGTAGAACAACATTTTGTGTCCGTGAAAGTAACTTTGGCTATGAAATTATAGTTATTTCTGTATTTTTGACTGTCTTGCAAAGAAAACATCTGCTAAATATACAATAGACCATAAAGAATTTTAAGAGTCACTGAAGAGTTCCTGCTGTAATTCTAACTCACAATCAATCTCTTGTCACGCTGGAAACCTCAGGACTGCGTTCTCCCAAGGCCAGGGAGACACTGGATCCATTTTTATAGCTTTCTTATTTTATCCAAAGAGAAACTACTTCTCACTCATGAAATCAGAGCACTTAATCTTACTACCAGCAAACAGAGCCTCAAAACCTGACAGATTTATCAGACATCACCGATTTCTTAAAGGCAGCAGTCCATAACACTATTCACTTTCATTATCAAGCCATAAAATAGAGCCTTTAATCAAAATGTATAGGGGACTATAAGTAAAAGAAGGCAAAATTATATTCATTTCCCTCGAACAGGAAAGTGATAAAAGCCGTCTCATCCACATTACCTAATGACAACACACAATTCAAAAAAGGTAGGAAGCCCCCTGCCCGGGTGATCCAAGCAGACTGCAGGAAGCACCTCACTGCACATTAGGATAAATTTAGAGTTGAAGAGAGTCAACTACCACGATATTCTGAATGTTGTCAAACTGGACTAAGTGCTATTGGGTGAGTGGGGAGGATGTTAAAGGAAGCATTTGTTCACAATCTGACTCAACAAGCTACCGATAGTGATGGACACCACAGCATAGTGGACAGCCCATAGGCCTGGGCTCCTATCATAGCCGAAGACATTCGACTGTACAAGTGAAGACAATGATTCTTATCCTGGATGTGGGAATGTGAGATGCCATACACAAGCTACTTTATAGCTCCTATCACAAATTTTATTGAGCTAATTCTTCAGTAGGGTCAAGTAGAGAAACATTTCCTTTCATCCAGAGACTGAGGAATAAACGTTTCTGATCAACTTAACTCTCCAAATAAATGAGATCCCATATCTACTGCAAATAGACTGTCATCTAGAAAAAATATGAAGTGCAATAAAATGCCTAATATTATTTCATTATAAACACTAATTGTTCCTGAGTGACTCGGAAGACATTTCGGGTATTAAAGCACACTCTGGAAATGCAGCACTAGCAATATCACCACGGATGTTGGTGATCTCAGCGATTGTCAGGATCCATACCGATCCTCTAACGAGCCAACCCCATCCTAGATATGCTGGTCTGACGTCTCTTTTGCCATTAGAGGATGATTTCGACTCTCTCCAGTTACCTGGCTCTAGCCTTAAAGAGAGTCCAGCAGAGATGCAGCGGTATGGTTAGCGCTAGTGCATGCGACCCACGGGCCTGAACGCCCATCCATCCCCGCTTCCACAGCCTTCCCTGCACCCAGAGACTGCCACACTGTCCTCCACATCCTTGCAGCTCATCCTGCCCGCCCGTGCCCTGCTCCTCTACCTGCCACTCACAACAGGGCTCTGCCAGCACCATGTGTCAACATCATCTGGCCACTGCATCTTGGGCTGCCGAAGCCTCCAAGCCCCCTGGCCGCTCCTGAAGCTGTCTCAGTCTAAGCCTGTCTCAGTCTGCCCTGGCATCCCTAGTGGGAAACTCCTTTCCCTCCTCACATCCACCCTTTTGGGAGGAGGCCCAGAGCAAAGCTGTGTGAGGCCCTGCAGTTTGGGCTGGTATGGCCTCATGCCCATTAAGCAGAGTGCTCAGCAGATTGGCACAATTTCTCTATGTGATTCCAGAGTCTTCTGGACTTGATATTCCTTAGGGGGCTCTCATTCAGGCAAAGACCAACACCCAGAGAACTGGACTTCCCCAGGCCTACTTTGCTGGCTGGAGTGCTGTCCACATCACATCTTTCTTCCCAGACACTGGACAAACCGGGCAGAGTCTAGACCCTGACTGTGAACTGGATCTGTGTTCCCTCCAAGAAGCACCTAGGCCCATAAAAATTAGGGTATGTGGTACCAATAGATCTCAAAGCCCCCAAGTATTGACAACAGCCACCAGAGCTCTGTTGCAGTGAAAATGTCCTGGGGCACACACATAGCATGGCATGGGCTTCACACACATTTACTGTAAGGAGCCCACAAAGTGGAACTGTCTTTAGGGACTTGGAACAAATAATTGGAGTTTGCTTGCTACAATGACTGTCATTCCACTAAAGCAATAACAGAATGAAACACTGTGAAGAGACTTCTCTGACTTGAATCTCTTACAAACCTCATGAAAACACTCGACCATCACTCCTCTTGTGTGGTATCACAGAACCAGCAGTTCTTAGAACTGCGGTTAATCAGTTAATCAGGGCACAAAACAAAGAGGAGACCCCAGCTACCAAGTATTAAAATTCCCAATTGTCTTAGAACCAGGTTTGTATCCAAGCCTCCAGACCTCAGGCCGCCCCCCAAACTCTCACCCTTCCCACTGCCCTTGACTTAACTGCTCTGAACTACAGCCAGTCCCATGGTCCTGGCGGGAGTTCGGCTGATTCCAGAGCATCATCAGTGCTGTTAGAAACCAGAAATACTTGCTTGTAGAAACTGCATACGGCTTCAGTGCTGAAAGCTGGACTTACAGACAGGCTGCCCAGACAGACAACCAGCACAGTAGGTTTCCTTTGCTTCCTAAGACAGGATAACAACTGACTGCTCTTATTCCCAAGGGCAGAAGTCTTGTTCTCATTGACAAGGAAATTTAAATTTAAATGAAGGTGACAAAACCCACAAAGCCTCAAAAATGTCTTGCAAATAGACTGGAGTGTGCTAGGAAGCCCTTCTTTCCGGTGCTTTCTCAGGACTCCTACTCCTGGCAAGCCTGCAGTCTCATTTATTTAGATCATTTCTTTAGACTCCTATGACTTCACCTGAAGCAAGCCTGGTATGTATGCATATATATCTAGGGTGAGGGGACAAAAGGGAAGTCAGCCTGAAAACAAATCAATCATTCTGCCAAAGATGTCATGATATTCTAAGACAGTGAGCGGCCATAATTTGAAAGTTTTTTTACACTGACCTATATAATTTTATAAAGTCATCTGTTTTATAAATTAGGATTGTCTCTTAAAACAGGAAAAATGGGATTTGAGAGGCTGAGAGGTGAATTTATGTAAAGTAACAAAAGTTTCAGAGTCTCACTTAATAATTACTTCCTTTATCATTCTCCATTGAGGGGAGTTTTTCTGCTCAAAACATCTTAACGAATGTAAAGAATGGAACATGTATGTGATCTAAACTTCTGCTGAACCTCCCGCTTATGAACCAGTGTCGTGAACACAGCGATGCACTCAATGACTGTGCTGGACCCACTTTGTGAGCTACAAACCCCAGGGAAGCAGCACATGACCATGTATCCCTTCAGTACTTTTCAAAATTAACCACCCCCCTAAGAACAGTGCCCTAGAACTGACCCATCACACTCCTGTGCAGATTTACTATTAAGAAGGTGAATAAAAAGAGCACTACCTAGAATAAATTCTCAAACACTCTAGCAGGTTAGTGGCAACTTTTAAGGAACCTTTAAAAACTCGGACGTTAAAAAAAAACAGCCCTCCAATCTAAAGGATGAATATAAATAGTATCTCTTCCTCATGTCATATAGGAATCAGACACCATCAAGAGGTCAGGGTAAGTGACAACGTCACACTGTACACCATTAGAAAGTATACCAAAGTCAAACAAATACAACTGCCAAAGAAAAACCACACGAAATTCAACCAGAGTAAACGATGCATCGGTCTGCTTAAAAGCAGAGCTTGATTTTGAAAGCATGAATTTTTACATCAGACTACAAAAAGGTATTCATTTAAAAGCAGTTAAACTCTTCATTAACAACAAAAAAATTGCTCAGTATAGCTTCTGGACCTATTCTGCTGAGCAGACATCCCCAGTACTTGCTTCATTTTGTGAGGAGAGGGTCAACTCTAGTTGCTGTGATGTCTCTCAGGGCCTTGAGGACTTTGGGATTCAGGCCTGCGGAACATGGGCCATCTGTGGGAGTTTCCACAGCATCCCAAGGGTACAAGCTACCTCATCCACCAAGTACAGCCAAGCAAGCATAGTGATATATTTTGTGCAGTGTTAATTTCTTAGACAAAATTACCATTTCATCACTTTTGGAATTCCAGCCATCTGAGTATCAAATACACCATCACTATACCACATTGATGTTATTGGGTCAACCAAGAAATACCTCCTATTCTCTCTAAAACAGGCAAAAGAATTTTCCTTAGAAAATTCTGGAATAGACATTATTTTTTTAGTTTTTTTTACAGCATGCATTTAAAAACAAATCCACTCATTTGAAATCTACTGCATACACTGGGATGCTGACCTCTTAGCTTCCCACTACAAGTTATCTCACATCTGACACTTGAAAGATCTCTTCCTGTCTTCTGGGCCACTGTTCCTATCCTGTCCATCATTAATTCTCTCTGGGACGAGGTCAACGGCCCATAATTGAACTCCAGGCCATCATCAGTCTTTATCTTTCCCAGCCTGTCTCATTCCCTTCCAGCAGGATAATCTTTAATATAATACAGCTCTGATCCTATCTTGTCCTACCAAAAAGCTTCAGTGGCTCCCTACTGCCTCCTAAATCACGTGCAAACTCCTTAGCCTAGCTTTCAAGGTCTATATATGCTCTAGCTTTTTTTTTTTTTTTTTTTTTTTTTTTTTTAACTACAACCTCCTGAGATGTGCCCCTGGCTTATAAAGAAACTCATCAGAGTTCCTAAAGCAGCCAACTCCTTCCAATCCCCTCCTGGAATTCTACCTAAATTCCAGTTACAATGCCACCTCCTTCAGGAGATGTGCCGTCAAATGTTCTTTCTTCTTTTCCCAAGGCACTCACTGCATTTAAACTTCCCCAAGGTCCACTCCCATATCTGCCCTGCAGAGGTCTTGTCTTACTTTCCCTCCAGGGGGGAAGGGACTACTTCTCTATATCAGTGTCCCCAATGCACAATGTGCACTTCCACCTGTTAGCATGAATGCCTCACACAGTGGACAAGAATAAATGTTAGTTTGGGGAAAGGTCCAATGTGAGTTTTTTAAACTCTGGAAAAAATACCACTGCTCTCTAAGAATCATGGATCAGCTGTACTCTTGTGAGGACACAAGACACAGGACACACCAGAGCCTTGGTAAAAACCATATAGGTCACGACTCAGCAGGAGGAGAACTATACTAGAAAGCCATTGTGTTTCTTAGGAACAACTGGAGGAGGGGAAACATGCTTTGAGGCATTAAAAATAAATGATCTTAAAAGAAAGATGGATGGGAAGAGTCCAAAACATTCAGAAACACAGACACCTGCTGCTGCCCAAAAGTAGAGCCCCACACACCGTACACACCCCTTGTTCATCAAGCTTGAGAAGCTGCTCCGAGACTTTGGGTGAACTGGAAGCCTGTCTCAGGCACTGAATGCTCAGCTCTGGAATGACGTACTCCAGAACTTCTTTGAGAGGTAGTCCCCGCGCGGTTCCATGCCTGGCAGTGGAGGGTATGGCATCTTCTAGAATTGCTCCCCGTAGGGTGGTAAGCTGCGGGGGCAGAACAGAAGACTTCAGAACATCACAGAAGAGTTTGTGTTTATGCTCGGGGACTTCTTGAAAGCATACTTTCTTAGTTGCCTTCCTCGCAGGTTAAGTCTCTTTTCTGAGGGGGGCAAAAGTGACATCAGCTCTCAACTGGTAGAAACAAAATCAACACGCCCAGAGTCTTTAGATGACAAAAGTGCATAGGGCTCAGGGAGAAGGCAAGAGGGGGCTGAATCAGTGCCTGGAGGAGGATGGGAGCCAGGCAGAACCCTGATGTTCCTGCAGCTCTCGGGCCGACCAGAGGAGGACGCTGAGGAGAAGTTAGATGTCATGGGGCTGGGCCCTAGCCCTCCCTTCTCTTTTCCTACTGCCCTGTTGTTCCACATTGACTTTTGTTCCATTCCTTTCTCTTCTTCTTTTTAACTTTCCACTGCTGATGAGTCCTGAAGCTGAATGGGGACATCCAGTGACACCCAGGGGCAGGGTGATTCAGGGCTCAGGAGATTACTTACTACTGAATTTTGCCTCATGACTTGTGATAGGTCCTCAAATGTGTGATGAATGCCTGGGACTGCCATCCAGAGAGGAAATCCCAGCACTGCAAGTCAAGAGACCTCGCTCTGACTCTACCCACTCTGACTCTGAGAAGAGAACTGATAGTGGTCTACAGAGTCAGGGTGACGGTTGTAGCAATGATGTCTGCCGTGTGCGTGACGCTCTAGAACACCACTGCCCAGCAGTTTTGTGCAATGATGAGAATGCTCTCCATCTCACTGGTTGATACAGGAGCCACTGGCTCCAGGTGGTTACTGGGCACTGGACATATGACCATCATGACTGAGGAGCTGTATTTTTAATTTCCTTGAATTATGTTAAATAGTCACATGTGGCTAAAAGCTATTTAATTGGACACCACAGGCCTGTGACTTAAAATATGTCACTGCCAGAGAGGAGTTTTATCTCCCATTTACTCAGCATAGAGCCCAAATCACTGGAGCACCTGGCAACATACACAGTGGAACACAGGCTCGTGCATACACAGGTCACTAGCAAACAGTTCTCTTCTCTCTCTCTTCTCTCTCTCTCTGATCTGGAAGGAGCCAACCAAAAATACGCACGCTGGAATACTTGCCAGATATATTCCCCTCTAATTACAACAGGTCAAAAGAATGAAACCTTACATGCAGGCCAGATCTCATTCTTTGTCATCAGCATCTCTAACCTATTTGGCTATACACAGTTCATTTGTACAACAATCCCATGTTTTACTCACAGCAAGGCAAGCGAGGCACGAAGCAGGAGCCTCCATGTGATGAAGTGTGCACAGCCATCCTGCCACACTCCCCTCCTCACTGTGGACTGCCTGACTGCCTGCGTTAGATTTTGAAGTGGTTTCTAAGTTCTGACATGAATTGTCCAGTTCATGTATGTTTCTTCTGAGCCTCCAAACCTTGCATTCTTACCATTTTATCCATTCTATCATGTGAGAAGGAAGTAAAATCATTGCCCCTTAACATCTGTGATAGGTTTTCAAATTTTTATTTGGAATACTATAAGCTTTCTCTATGATCTTAAATACTATAATCATTAATATTATATAGTATCTGAAAGAACCTAATGCAGTAACAGCTCCAGCCTCAGGACCGTAAGGACACAAGGCACCCATTACCTCACTTGTCCTGAAGGCTACTCGGTAGTTGAACTGGGACCCCTCTTTCTCCTTGGCGTCTTCCACCTTCTCCCTCCGGATGCTGACTGCCACGGGGCCAAGGTTTTCATCTATTCCAAAGTAGTTCTGGTGCTCTGTAACAGGAGAGAGTGGTGGCATCAAAAGAAAGGAACAAAAGACCAGATGGGTATTTCTCGACTTGTGTGTCAAATCTCTGAAAAAATATCGCAGGGGTCTGGGTACACAATCCCCTGTGTGTGATCACAGTGTTTTGTTTCCGAATCAGATGTGCTCGTATGTCTCATCTTCCGTTACTTCCTCTTCCCATTCTGCTTTTGCCTAGCTCACAAGCAGCAAGAACCCTCCCGCCACCCCCAGCCATGATTTTGGCATCACACAAACAGCATCCCCAGAAAGAGTGTGCTGCCATTCCTAGAAACTGTTGAAAGAGGAAACTACTCGAAGACCATGACTGAACAGTTCCCCTCCAGCTGGGAAGGTCATCCTCTGAATGAGTGTGGGCACTTGGACTAGCCAGGTAATCTTGGTGCCCAGTGCGGTGGCAAACATCACCCCTGCACTACGAGATCACTAAAGGACCTAGCCATCTAAAGCGGAATTTAACAACAGACGGAAAAGACACAAAAGGTCATTAGCTGCTAAGATCAAACTGTATCTACTAACTCTAACTTGGTTTACTGTTATCAGCTACTCATGTCTTTCACAAAACAAAAAAAATACCTACTGGCCCTGCAGGGTTTCTAATCTGTACAGTCTCACTGCAATAACATATTTTGGAGGCCTTCTTCTCCATCTAGCATAGGAATCCCCCAGTATACTGCTCTAAGGGATGGCGATTTCATGGTGGGGTCATAATCCAAGACAAATTCCTATTCTTGAAGCCAATATATGAGCCTGAACTCTGCCAATGGCAGGAAACTCATACTTTGTGAGTAATCACTTCTGGACACTGTCTGCTGAAAGAAGTCCAAACACTTCATTGTGACCGGATTTTTTTTTTTAAGATTTTATTTATTTATTTGAGAGAACAAGCAGGGGAGAGAGGCAAAAGGAGAAGCAAACTCCCCACCGAGCAGGGAGCTGGATGGAGGGCTAGATTGCAGGATCCCTGGCTCACAACGTGAGCTGAAGGCAGACTCATAGCTGACTGAGCCACCCAGGTGCCATGCAACCAAACTTTTCAAGTATTGTCTTCTAATAGGGCCCGACTTAACACAACACTCTGATGTGGTCTGCACCCATACAAAATAGAGGGATCAATTACCCCAATGTTTATTCATGCAGCTTATCTATTCTTGGTAGCCCCATCATACCATCAATTCCATGTGGAACAGGTGGTAAACACAAACCCCCAGGTGGTATTCATTTATTTCTTAATGAACTGCTACCAGGTCGGTTCCCCAAGGTGTATACTTATACAAGTAATTTTTTCACCCTCTATGCAGAACCAGGCTCATCCCTTCTGACTGTCACCCTAAAGCTTTTGGCCCATCTTTCCTGACTCTTCATTTTTTAGTTAAAAAGAAATATATCCGGTATTTATAAACTTGAAGAAAACTGTAGGTATTCGAAAGCCTTTTAGTTATAACATTTTCTACTGCATTAATTTTTGAAGGAATAAGAAATGTCATTCAGAAGAAGAAATCAGGGTGAAAATAGTGCCTAACATTGGCCAGGGCAAGCATCACCCAAAGCCAATGAAGACTACCAGCTAGACCTTGAAAAGGCATTTATTTCTTTTCCTCTTTATTTTCATGATCATTTACTCCTTTACCTTTTGCAACCCAATGAGATTAACACTGTCATTATTTCTCTTTATAGAGTGACGGCTACAAGCAGTGAGTGCACTATTTTAGGGGCTGGAGGGTGAGTTATTGACTTGCTATTGTCCTGGAATTACACAGTAGGAAACAGGCCTTTGTTTTTGATGCATAACTCATCCCCTGTGTAAATTACATGCTAATAACAGCCAGGTTAACTGTTATAGACCAGAACAACTTCCAGGGAAACCAAACACACATTGTAAAGAAAATGTATGGGGTTGAGGAGAGCTGATCCAGCAGCACTTAATCTGAGTTTTAAACAAGAATTTAAAAATATTCATTGTGAACAGAGACTAGAAGTTAACTGTCTACTTCAGACAACTAGGTATATTATCATTTTGTTAAAGTTGGCATTATTGACTATTAGACCCATGGGCATTATAGTAGATCCTGTGGAAAATGCATCCTTACACTTAAATCAGTTTAGGATTTTCTTAGTTGCAGTTAGTAACTGTCCTGACAGAACTTTCCTCTTTGTCTAGTTTTTCATAAGGCAAATGCATTAAGAAAAATATTCAGAAAGTGCACGAAAACAGTCATCATCATGATAAAACTTCCTTCCTAGAACCCACTTTGACAAGTTACTTTGCAAAAATTCTCAAATCAATTCCCTATTAGGCATTTGAGGAATCCTGCTGAAGTGAATAAAATCCTGCTTCAAGTTATTTTAGAGAGAAAAAAGAATGACTAAATAAAACCCCTTCTTGTGGTGAAATTGAGAGTCCAGATTAAGGGAATCAAATCACTAATTCTAACAGCTGACAACTAAAAATCACATGGTGTGTGCTCTCATACTCAGCAGAAGCTGCAGGCACAACAGACCAGGGCAGCCAGGGTCTCATGGCAGGGGTAGGGGCAGGCCTCAGGGGAACACCTGGGAAGTTTCTGGGCTGGGGGAGCTATCCTGCGTCTTGATGGTGCTAGTGGCAATGCATCATATTCATTTTTCAAAATTCTTAGAACTCTACACTTGAAAAAGGGTGAGTTTCACCATAGGTAAAGTATACCTTTATTTTTTAAAATTAGGGAAGAAAAGAAGGTGGATGAGAGAAAAGCTAGTGGGTCTGGCCAGTGGATGGGTCTCTGACAAGACAGGAGTCATGAATGCTCCCTCAGCCCGTACACCATCTCTCCAGCCCTGCATACCTGCTCCTCAAGTGTTCGCTTTCTCCCCCTCCCCCTTCTCTCCCACCCCACAGCCCTGGCAGGCCTGTCTGCCATGCTGGGCACTCTTGGCTCTGGGGGTGTCCTTTCTGAGTGAGCCACCCCCGGCCTCTCTTATCCCAAGTCTCCACTGTCAGCCCATGACTGTTCTGACTCTGTCTCTGTTTTTTGACGTATCTGTTTGAATGTCTGTCTATCTGTTTGTCCTTCCAGCCACCCACCCACCTTCTCCTGGAAGTTCCTCAGCGACATCACCCCAAACTCTCTACAGACTCCTCTCCCGTAACTCCTCTAACCCACACGTTTGCCTCCTCGACCTGACACATCCTTCACTTTTCACTCTAACACATCCTTTAAGACTCAACCCAAGGATCACTTCCACTGCAAATAATCGCCTCACCTCCAGATGAGGCTGAGTCCTTCAACTTTTAGGTCTTCAAGGCCTGATACAATAGGGCCTAATAAATGATAAGTACTTAACAAATTGTACTTGAATTAAGGAACTAAAGTAGCCTCCCTTGGTAATGCTCAAAAATACTGGTCTTACTGAACTTCAACCAAGACTATAAAGTTAAACAAGGAGGGCCACCGGGGTGACTCAGCAGCTGAGCATCTGCCTTTGGCTCAGGTGGTGATCCCCGGGGTCCTAGGATCAAGTCCCACATGGGACTCCCTGCAGGGAGCCTACCTCTTCCTCTGACTGTCTCTGCCTCTCTATTTGTGTCTCTCATGAATAAGTAAATAAAATCTTAAAAAAAAAATTAAAACAAGGAGGCAGCTCATTTCATGCTGGTGAGTGGAGAAGGCAGCATGAAAGGTCTTGGGACCAGAAATGTAGCAGGTCCTGCCCTCATGAGAGGGGCAATATAGTTTCTTGAAATATCTACACCAATTACAACTCCGATGTTAAATCAGTGTCCTAGTGCTGTTATAACAAATTGCCACAAGCATGGAGGCTCAAAGCAACACTCGCTAATGGTCTCAGCTCTGGAGGTCAGAAAGCCAAAACCTATTTCAATGGGCCACAGTCAAGATGATGGTTGGGATGCATTCCCTCAGGAGGCTCTGTTTCCTCACCTCTTCCAGCTTGTAGAACTATATTCCTTGAATTCCTTGGTTCACATGGCCCCTTCTTCTATCTTCAAGTCCAGCCCCAGATCCTGCTTCAGGGGCCACACTGCATTCTGCTCTGTCAGACTTGCCTCCACCTACCTCTTACACGGACACTTAGGATGACATTCAGATTCCACCCAGAGAATCCAGCACAGTCTCTTGGTCTCAAGATTCTTAACTTTACCACATCTGGAAAGCTGCTTTTGACATATAAGGTAAGATTCACAGGCTCTGGTGATTAAGACCTGGGTATCTCTGGGGGCCAGTACTCAGCCCACCACACACACTTCATTCATTCACACAAATACAGAGCATGGGCTAGGTCTCAGTTATACACCAGACACTGATAAATATGAGGGAAACAACATCGAGCACAGTGCCTGCTTCACAAAATCTTAGTCAGTGGGGCTAGCACTCATCGGAAACAGAGAATTACACATTCCAAGTTCTATGACACGAATAAGCATGAAGTACCCTGGAAGCACCGCCAATATCCCCTATGGATAGAACCAACAATCCAGAAGAAAAATGCCACACACGCAGTCAAAGTAAATGTCACAAGGCCCATCTAGCCTATTTTAACATATTCATAAGCACATAATTTTAAAAAGCTACTCTCCTTCTTGTTCTCCATTTTTCATCATTCTTAATTCCATTCCTACAAAACACTTCAAATTCTATTACAGACTGAGTATTCTAACCCACAACCACAACGTGTCGCCTCCACCTTTTAAGGCTTGCACTTGGCTTTAGTGATGCTTTGTAGCCCTCTGTCATTCATTCACATCTTTGTTTGGATTTTAGCCCAAGGTCCTTGATGTTTTAGGATAATGTAAATAGTATCTTTCAAAAAGTTTCCATTTCTATTTGTATATTTCTAGTATATAGATAGTTCAGATCTGAGATTTGATTATTTCCCCTTTCTGTTTGATCAGTTTTTGTCCCCCCCCCCCCCAACCTATTCTGAAGCTATGATTTTGGTGCTTGGAACTGACCCTTTTATCATTATAAAA